GGCGCGCGGCCGGGCCGGCGGCGGCGGCGGCGGCCGCGGCGCGCGCCCGCAGTAGCGCGGCGGTGTAGCTGACGCAGGCGGAGCGCGGCAGGCCGACGTCGTCGTACCGCGCCAGCACCGCCTGCGTCGCATGGTCAGTATCTACATTCTCGAATTGTTTCCTGCGTCGCATGGTCAGTATCTTCATTCTCCTAGGCTCCTAGAGCTTTTTTAAGAGGAAAAATCATCGAAGGAGGGAGGGAGTGTCTAACCCTTACTAAAAACCACCCTGTTCCTACTCCTGCACTTCGAGCCGGAGCCCCGGTAACCCGTTAGGTTCTCCGCAACTCAGTATCGGCATCAGCCCTATTGGGCCCCACCCGTGGTGGTCTCAGTCACCCATGCTCTATGTCCGCAGGCCCGCGCTTACGGTGGCCGGAGATCGTCCCGCGATCCCCGACGCCCGGAGTGTCTTGGTCTACATCAGAGCTCTCCAAACAAAGGCCCGAGGGCCGCATGCGGTTGCTTACATGGCTTGTTTACATGTGGCCCGCGACACACGTTTTAATCTCAACATCTTCATCTTATGTGCAACAACAATAATAAAAGTCAGTGTATGATTTGTCTACAAATTTTGTCTGTGAGTAATACAATGTTAACTGTCATTATACAACTGAACATACTTTTCTGGCCCTCCAGCTTTTGTACGAAATGAAATTAGCGAGTTGTCGTTCGACATGGAGGGGAGGCCCTCCATGTCGCACGACAACTTTGAGGCCTTTGTCCAGCAGTGGACGTCTTCCGGTTGTTGATGATGATGATGATGTAATTAGCCCGCGAGGATGTATAGTTTGGACAGCCTTGGTCTACATGAAGTGGGCAGTGACAAAAATTTTACTTTTTTATGTGATAAACAAGTTCACCGAATCGAAGAACGGAAAAAGTGTCAGTAACATAATTAAATAAAAATATTTCTTACGTCAATTTGTTTAATATTTTTTTTCATTGCAGACTTTGTTGAAAAAGGTCACGTGCCTCGGCACATGTGTTTTTCGGAAAAGCGCGCATATATGGCCAAGTGATTTAGAATACCTACTGAATTTTCGAGATTTGATTATTCAAAATTGTATGGCAATAGTCCTCGCTACGATGTCACGTTACTCGCGGTAACGTAACAAACCAGAGGTGGCGCCACGTTATTCGAGATTACATTTGACCATGTATGACACCCAGTGCAACACCAGGAGTTACAAGTGTCGGTGTATTATTAAAGATGAAATAAGTCGTTAATAGAAATTGATTTTCACTAAATAAATAAATAAAAAAGAACACCGAACACCGTATAATTAGGAAGTCAGAACGCGTAATCGCGCTGCATGTGAAAGAGATCGAAGAGTCAATAGCGACCTGCACGTCGGCGTAGGCCTTCTGCTCCAGCAACACCTCGATCAGGTTCTCGTGCAGCGCCAGCGCATGCAGCGCGGGCGGCGCGTCGCGCGCTAGTTCCCTGAACAGGCGCGCCGCGTCCCGCAGCCGGCCCAGGCGCCGCGCGCACATGGCCGCGCGCCGCTTGACGTGCGCCAGCACGGCCGCGTCGCGCCGCGCC